AAAATGTTGCGTTTTCAGGGATGAAATACAAGGGGAAATACAACTTATCTGTATGCCACATTCATATTCTTTAACTGCATTACAGGTGGAGAAGGTAACACTGTAGATTGGGGTTTTTATGTAACTCTGCATGTACACACATATTCGTGTGTGTGCTTGTGTGTATGTGTGTGTTTGGGTGAGTAAAAAATAAATTAATGCAGACCTGTACAACCTTGCATTTGCCCATAAACGCTGGAAACCGAGATGCTGAGAGATCGCACTGCCCTCAAGTCAAAGCAGTATTTCGTCCGTATTTTGTATAAGTGCAGTTATGAAGTGTTTACATTAAAAATGTCCCATCGCCAGTCTAGCATGTATTCCACTTTTGCTCTGCTTCGAAGTATCATGTTACCGGTTAAGGAAATGCTTCATTTGTGATGCTGTCATGCTATCGTCTTGGATAAACTCGTGACTTAATCAACCAGCAAGGGTCTTGAATCTCGTCTTACTACGACAGCAATGCAGACAGTCACCATATTACTCGATCCGGCATTTTTTTCTCGTCAAGGCATTGCGCATTCTGACGGTACTTCCTTCTTTCATATTTTGGCCTGGAGCTTTATCGAAGTGATGCACCTTATTTGGATTCACTTTAATGTCTTTTTGTTTGCACTTGCCAAACTTTGCTGTTGATACAAGTTCACGTCTTCATGCTGCTGTAGCCTTAGCAAAGCCTGAAACTGCTTTCGAGTTCATTTACAGATTGCCCTCTTGTCTCTCAGCTTCAAGATTCAATCTGTGAGTCCTGATTTTAAGCTTTTATTCAGATTGACCTTGCTTCATTTGGGGCTTAGGTAGCTCAATTATAGTATAAGTTGGTGCATAAGTTTGGCCCCACATGAGGTTGTTCCATAGACAACGGCTTGGACGCATAGTCGCCTTCCGTCTCGACTTTGATGCGACACTTACTCGGTCGTCTTCGAATTCTTAGGGTTAGTTCTTTAATCGACGACGACCGCAATCAGCCGATACCACAAATAAACCGGTAGGCGAGACGGCGACTGGCTCACTGAGAGCGAGTTTGCCCATAATGACTTGAAGAGGTCAGCATTTTTTATTTATTTCCACCTTACCTTGTATCTCAAATTTCAATCTCTTCTCCAAACGGGACCATTATTTTGATCTTGCCCCATCCTCATCAACTTCAGCTTCATTATCATAAAGAAAATAACAAAAAATATCCTCCTTATAGGTTTGAAATAAAACTAGGCTAATAACTACATAAATAAGCAACGTACCATAAGAATAAGTAAGTTTCGAATTGCGGAAAAATTCTTCACAAAACTTCATGGAGTAAAAGAGGATAGATCTTCATGCAACTCAATGGGTCTAATGAATTTGCCGTTTATTCTGCACTTCCCCAGTGTGAATTCGTCGAGGGGAATTGATGAGATGAGATAAGGCCGAAAATGCAGTTCTATATGAACATGAGAAAGGCTTATGGGAATGCATGGATGGCTGAGTATATGTGCAAAAAAAATCATGCGTTTCTCGCAATTCCTTCTGGGCAGATTTACTGTTAGTCTAGGGAGAGAAGGGTCGAAGTAAGCGTACTTTACAACCAGGTAAACTCATATTCGCGATACAATCTTTCAACACTACTGGCAATTTAATAAGTAGTTTTTGGCACCAATATGACGATGATCCACTATGGACGATTCTTTAATTAAAGACGAAACCTGCCGGTCTGACATGAGCTCCTGGTACTTGACGGAGGATGATTCGGTACCCAGTTGAACCACTTCGCAGATTTGATTCTCAGATGCATCTGGCCAGTTAGGGGAACTTCGCGTTGGTTACTCAAAATACGTGTAAATATCTCAAAAATGCCAATGAACCGAAATATTCAACTATTACACTAAACAAGAAATCAAATACTTTGAGGAAGGTAATAGCAAAAAAATTTATACGAATTAAGAGAACAGCCGAAATAAATAAATTTTCGCCTCTTCCATTCACATGCTGCTTGGGTGCATGGCTACTTGGGAGAATCTGGAGCAGTTAAAGAAGAAAATTAGCGGAGATGTCGTTCTTTTCGCTTCCAAGGAGGTGTAGCCGAATGCTACTCAAGCCTATTGAACCCCACTTTCGGAGCCGATATTGCAACACTACAAATTAGACTTTTTACCGACACCAACGCAATTGTGGAACCAACTTCCATTTCGAATAAAAACATACGATGGAGAAATCCGAAGGTTGATCCCACCAAATTGCAAACATTGAGTTCTCAGCCAGCCGCTGGTTATCTTTATTAAAGCATTCTTTTTGACGCTTTACCACTTTGGTGCCGGCGATTGACATCCTCAGGGCAACAACCATATTATATACCCTAAATCTATTAATTTTGATGAGGTATAATTAGGTTAAGAGACGCATCAACATAGAAGCATGTATGTGTGTGAGCGCTCGTCTGCTTTCATGTATGCTTATATGCAGGAAAACAGCAGTGATGACAGCAAATGATTATAACAGAGCGTACCATCTAGAGGTCCAATTACCCTCAATATTTATGCTTTTGGTCATCACTTCTATTTCAAACTGTCGGATGCACTTTTGGTCAAGTTGATGAGCGTTATGTTTGTGTGCGTGGGAACTAAGAGAGTGTGTGAGAGAGAAGAGGGGAAAATAAGTAGTTTAGAAGGGGCGATTGTGATTAAAGTCGGTTAAACACCCTCTCATTACTCATTTCTATCAATTGAGTATAATTAGTACTAGCCTAACGGTTTATATGTGTTACTGACATTTGCAGTAATGCCTAATTTCAAGGACGACCAGGTATTTCTCCACATCACAATCTGTGGTTGGATTATCAAAGAGGCAGCGTTGTATTTGCTACGTTGCTTATATTTCGTATCATCAGTAGATTTTTAAGACTATCGTCATAACCTTAAACGAAATAAATAGAATAAAGTCCCTATATTAGTATTTTTCTGTCATTATTCTAATTAAGTCAATTTCCGTACATTATAATCCTTTTTTTCTCTCCCACACGAAGTTGATGAACACCTTGCTCATCAACTGAGCCGGACCTTTATCCGGAATTATGTAATCGATGTGATGGTTGAGAAGTTATTAGAAACGGTTTGATGGTGTCATTACATCTTGATGAGCTAGAACAGATTTTAGATTCTGTTACAATTACATCGAGCTTTCACTGCTGGGTTAGTACATATACTAACAAATGAAAGCATCAAAGCACCCACAAGCAGACATGCACATACTAAGAGTTTGACATGTGGCTTGAAGCAATCGAATCAATTTATACCTCATCAAAAAACAGAGGTACAAGGGATATATGTATGGAATTTAGGGATAAGCAAATGAGTTTTCTTGACCCGTTCTCTTGAATATGATTCTAGGAATGATGGCCTGCTCCGAGGAGGTCCATCATACAAAGAACGAAAGCTTAGCACTCTTTCATTGTAATAGAAAGGGATTACCTCAGAAACAGTCACGTCAATCGACAGTTGGTCAAAAAGAAACCGCCATCACCTTCTGGTGGGATCGCCCTTTGAATCTCTTCACCGAACGCGCTTACTCGCAACGGAAGTGGGCTCAACAATTAAGTAATCTTGACTCGTTATAAGCTTAAAGTCGTGTCCCAGATTTTATTTTATCCGAAAACTCAGACCTCTATCTAGAATCTGGAAGCGAAGAGGGGTATCCTATCGACTTTGTAAAGGTGAAGGTCTCACGTAACCCAAACAACAACAGCTGAACGAAATCAATCGTCGTCTTCTGGGGAAATCAACCTATACATATCTCTTCATCGCACAATTTCTCACAGAATGTAGAGTTAACTAATAAAATCCTTTAAAAACGACACAATAGGAAAATGTATTCAGCGTTACTCATACTTGATTGCTAAAGATATATAGACAGACAGACAGACAGATGAACAGATAGATAGATAGTTAGATCGCTATATAGCTATTTAACTAGCTAGATTGATAGATAGATGGATAGATATATTTTTATATAGATAGATAGCCAGATAGATAAAAATAGATAGATAGAGCGATGGATATATTAGTAGACAGGATTAAAGATATAATTATAGGCTCGAGAGAGTTTTGGGCAATTTATACAATCTTTCCTAATCTAGTTCAAACCTTATTTAAGCATTCTACGCATCCGATTTCACACAGAAGGATTATCAACCAGCTCAGAAGTACGTCTGGTATTCCGCAAGCGTAGTGATGCATAATTAAATCATTAAAATCTAGAACAGATGCTGTAGTTAGCGTTAATTGCACTGACAAATTACTTGGATTTCCTACACCAACAAATGCACGTATGAAAGCACACATGCATAAATGTACCCTTGCGCATATGGGCATGAAAGCGAAATAGGAAAATCATTTTGTACCATTTGACATGATTTTTTATGTATATATTACAGCGAAATTGGAGTGTGTTAGCTTCCTTGACTCTTTGTCAGCTTGAGGTCGTTATTAGAATGCGTTTGGCCTCTAATGCTGCTTGTCATGTGGCAGGACAGAAAAAAAAACATGACAAATTTAATCCTCAACCAAAGTAAAGAACACCAAACCATCCGAGCTTAATTCATATCATATCAACCATTTTGCCCGATCCCCATCTCCGACAATCTATTTATGGAGCCGTCGTATATTCCGGCGAGCTGGGGGAGACGAGATTGTCTCATTCCAGCTCAACTTCGAGTTGAGCCACGAGTTGGACAAAAACAAACATACCTAAATAATACACATACAGATGCACAGTCACAGTTTGTCCACTTTGATTGAGATATGATTCCGAAACCCTGGCAATAAGAACTTTCAGTGAACCGTTGCTGGGCCTCATGCAAAGACGACTCCTGGTGTCTGTGCATTGACGGGTTCAGGCGGTATCAGCCTGTCTATTCGATCTGCCTCAATGGCTTCCAGCTGGTACATTGAATACTGAGAAAAAGAGATATCAGGCTCATCTGTCAGCCTATGCTCAGGGTTGGGTTCCCCTTGAGACTCCTCGAAACCCCTTCACCAAGTCGGATCTTTTTTCTGTCATTCACATTCCTCGGAGGCTTTATAGGACAGACAAAGCATCTGACCGACGTGGGCGTTAGGCCACGTACCTCTCAGGAGCAGGCAAATCCAGAGATTTTGCCTGATTGTCGAGAAATTCTGAAAAGATCCAAACGACTTGTGACGAGTTTGGGCATCGTGTGGGCTCTGAATGTAGCGGCAATCAATGCCTGTGTGCGTGTGTACGTATATGTTTTGTGTATGCATGAGTGGGAGTATGTTGAAACAAAATGTGGAGTGATTTTGGAGTAGTTTTTATTTGGTTTGAGGAGGCGAGTGGAAGGGATTCTTAAGTTGGTCTTAACAGAGGCTGTAGGAGGATTGCCTTTGAGCTGTGATTGTAGATTTGTGCTCTAAAGCAATCTCCTACAGCTTCCGGTGAGACCAAAGTACAAATCCCATCCATTCGCCTCTTCAAAGGAAGTAAAGGTACTCTAATATCACCCAGTTTTACACCCACCGAAAGTGTTGAATGTCTGGCCAAAAGATAGAATACGATTATGTAATGAAGTTGATACAGTTGCCAGTATTTTGAGAGATAGATACAGGACCCAGAAAGACGAGTTTCTACCAGACGTCAAAAGATAGGATAGGAAAAACTGGGTGTCTAACAATCCCTATTTCGTTTAAGATGATGAAGGACTGGTAGTAGAATTTTCCCACAATGATATGAGTTGAGCTGAAGTTTCCTTTGAATTTCACATAGCCTTGCTTTCTCAAAAGCTGTTCTTCTCCAGGGTGGACTGTAGTTTCGACAAGTCGGTTTCGAAGCTATCAGTTCATTACAAATAAAAACCTGATTAGTTCATGTTCTTGCTCAAAACTCCTTTATCATTTAAATGCCTTGCACAAAACTTATGTGTAGCCCAAATTACAGGCGATTTTATATTCTCCCAAACATTGTGGTTATGACCCTTTTTTCGCAACTTGGTCACCAAATAATATAATATAGCAAAGAGGCCTGATCTTCCTTGAAATTCACTAATGCCCTGTGACTCAAGAGTACTCGTGGCAGTGTAGCCGAGTGGTCAGCGTGTCAGGCTACCGTCATGCATTGTCGCGGTTCGAGTCCCGCTGAGGGTGTTGATAAGACCAATGCGAGGTCGAAACTGCAGTCCACACCAGCCGGGATGAGAACAACTTTTGGGAAAGCAAGGATATGTGAAATTCAATGGGAAAGTCAGCTCAACTCATATCATTGTGGGAAAATTATACTACCAGTCCTTCATCACCTTAGACGAAATGGGGTGAATACATCTCATATTACTGATTTATTGGTAGTCTCGAAACTAAAATGGCCATAAATAGTTCCTACCTACTTTCCAAAACTCGTTCCACTTATTTAAGAGGTTGGCTCCTTTATTCATTTCTACATACGTTTAGTTTTATGCTTTGATGCGAAACGTTGAGTCTTTGACCAGTCAATCGAGTTTCCTATATTATGCATGCTCTTGAGGAGTTCAGCTTTTTAGACCGATGGACTTTTAAAAGCGGTTTTGTGTTCCGCCGATTTCTTTGGGACGGGTCAACAGGTCTCACCCACCTAAACATTACCACAATAGCACAAAACTCTGTAACAGTCTAATCTAGAGAGAGGCTCCGAAAATTCTGGAAAAGCAGACGCGCTTGAATCAAGTGTTAGTTTCTCTTCGTACATTGTTCTGATATTCCACTTCCCTAGTAGGCCTATCTCTAACCCCAAACTGGACTCGAAATCGAGTATTGTAAAGTATGATCTTGACATTTTTCTACTATGCCACACAACTGAGGTTACTAAATCACAGGAAAAGAGAGAATAATATGGAATTTTTGACTTGTTCCAGATCACATTTGTATTGTGGGATTGCTGATGTAGTAAACTTGTATTTATTAATTAAAAGGTAAAATCTCGAGGCTCTCATCAAAGCTTAAATTAAAGTTCCTATCCATCTTGGTCTCATAAAGTGATGCCTTTAAAAGTACACATCGACATTTTCCTATTTTTACCAACTTGGTCATTTGTGTTGCCAAACCCACCCACCACCCAGAGGGTCCCGCAACTCCAACTCTTCTGCCGACCCTAATTAGACGGTACCGATGGGCAACTTCTTCGCATCCCTTGGCTCGGCGCAACAGTGTCGGCCAGTTTCCCGCATGGCAACAGGTCGACAACACGACTTCGATCGACAATCCTACTTGCAAGAGGCCGACACCACCAGCAATTCCGTTGGCTCCAGACCTAGACCCCTCCAGCTTTGCGTCGGCGGCGTCACCGGCGCCGAATACGGACCAGCCCGTGGATCTGTTCGCTATGTGTAGTCTGGCAACAGGCAGTGCCGTGGAGGCGTTGCTGGCGGAGAGCCGAAATGCCATGATTTCGAGCCCACTGCAACCCGAAGAGCCCGCCTCTTCAGAACCAGGTGACCATGACCACAAAACTGTATGTCGTGCAGAGTGGCATGGAGACAGAGATGGAATAGCTGAGGAGAAAGAGGGATCCGAGGGAGCGAAGGAACCGTCGGGATGGTCAAGTAGGGCGGTATCTTGGGCCCTTGTTGGTGCCGGCTTGAAGAAGGCTTCGGCTACACACTTTATCCACACAACGGCGAAGAGGTGAGTTGGTAGCAGAGCTCGGAGGCATTTCGACGTAGGTTACAGCAGGCATCAGAAGCGTTTATCCATTTTAGCCAATCTTTGTGACCTTGCGACCAAAGCCGAGCATTTACTGGCAAAGTGAAGAAGGATAAGCGTTGAATTTCGCCTATTTCCGCGAAGGACTGCAGTTCCAGCCTCCAAATCAGTTTTTGCATTTTTATGCATCAAACTCAGGAACTTTCATTCGCGGGCCAGACGAGACAGGCTTCGCTCGAGTGTCGTCTATTTCGAAGAGAAAGCTATAGAGCAAAATAATGTTGAATATATGAACACCAAAATGTTGTGGCCTCTATTATGGTCGCAGTTTTCTTTCGATTTATAGAAGTGGGTTAACCTCGTTGTCGCAACCTGCTCTTGTTGTCAGGGTGACTAT